TAGAAAGATAAGCAGTCCAGTTAACTTGGGGGTTTTAGAATACCTTTAATAACCAGGCTAACTTGGTTTTCCCACTTTGATTATCTTCTAGAGATTTTTCTCACACAATCACAAAGATAAATATCTCTAAAAAGGCTTGTCGGATTTTGTGCAGTTATAACAATTTTCATTTGTATGAAACACTCATCACAAGTTTATAGTGTTGGAAGAGATTAGCTAGTTCAGTAGTGCCATGCCTTTTTTTTTTTTTTTTTTTGTTACATACTAGATAAAAAGGGACCAGAAAGGCTAAGCATCTTACTCAAGGTCACTCAGCTAGATAGCCCCAGAAGACATGGTTCATTGCTAAAATGATTCCCACAAGTCCTATGTGTCCTTAGCTCCTCCTTAAACAATTCTCTTACTGAAAGAACAGTTTATCACTCATAATATACAAAGCACTTTCTACCTCTAAGACTTTGTTATCCTACTGCCAAGAATATCATAGACCTGAGATTAGCTTGGAGGGTCAGCTGCTCTTGGGGTTTCCTGTGCACGGAGACAGTATGACAGCTGGAGAGTATCTGTCACATTTGTCCTTCTGCGTAACCCTTATAACTGAGCTGGAATGCAGCATCGATTCCAAGTCACAAGTATGATCACACTCATATGCAGCACTCCATGAAACATGGTATTATTTACTATTATTTATGCTACAGGGTTTTGTGATTTACTCTATAGAAAATTTAAAAATACAATAAATATCAGAAACAACATGAGGACAAAATCATTTTGTTCTGATAGGAAAATAATAAAGATAGTAAACATCTGTATGCAGAAATTCTTTTTGTATGTGCCAATACTGGGGCTTGAATTCAGGCCTGAGTGCTGGCCTTTAGCTTTTTTGCTCTTGGCTGTTGCTCTACCACTTGAGGTTTTTGCTCATTAACTGGAGATAAGAGTTTTATGGACTTTCCCTGTTCTGGCAGGCTTTTCTGAGATCCTCAGATCTCAGCCTCCTAAGTAACTAGGATTACAAATGTGAACCACTGGCTAGAGATAAATGTTTTAAAATCCTGCTTTATGGATAAAAATGTCAGTTTTCCCTAAACAAAGTGAGAAATATAACGGACTTGAGTAATTTGGTAACATTCTCTCTGTAGATTTCACAGTGAAGGTCATGCAGCTGTGTCTCGCTGTCTTGCTTAATGCAAGTCAAAGGCACAGCTAATGCAAATCAAGAAGGGTATTTCCAGGATACTGGGCATGAGAGCAAAACAATGCATCAAAATGTACAGTGCAATGCTTAGAAATGAATAAATTATGTATCGTTCAAGAAATGGTTACACATTCTTCCTTAAAACTGTTTTTAAAAAAAGTAAAAAATGCTGAACAATAGGGAAGTAAGGAACCATATAAGTCCAACGAAGATTTGATTCGTGAAGCAGAAGATACCAATGGTCCCAAATATCTGTGTCTTCTGGCTCTTTTAGGCCACTGCTAAGTATCATTTCTGTCAGCATATGACTGAACTTGGACCAATGGAATGTGTTAGATCTGATACATCAAATCCTGTGTACCTTTTTCCTTCCCTTCCTGCCAATCCTCTGAATTTAAAAGACTTTAGGGACCTGAGGGTAGGGGTCAGGGGTCTGCCCTAAAAGTAGACACCTGAGCCTCTGAAGGACTATGAAGAGCAAAGTTCCCCACTGATCTATAATACATTGTTACATGAATGAGGAGTAAACTTGGTGTTTCCTGAGGTTTGGAAGTTTGTTTTAGCAGCTAGGACTGTAATACATAAGATAATCTTCTGACTTTTTCAACTAGAAGTCACATTAATGGAGTAAATGTCCTTAGTGGCTACATAGGCCAATTTCTACCTTGGAAAAAAATCACTCCAAATGACAACTTTTCCAAGACCATATTCCTGTGGTTTGCACTAGTCTCTGGGAGGCTGGCGATCAGATGCACTGGGCTTTTATCTTAACTCTACCATTCAGTGTCTGGGTAAATTACCTCCCTTCACTAACCTTGGAGCCTTCATTGCTAAAATGGGAAACATATTAGGACTTGTTCTCTGGAAGGAGAGAAAAGGTATTTTATTGACTTGCTCAGACTAGGATTGGCATGTAGCCAAGCACATGCTAAACATTAGCTTGTAATGTTCATAATTCTTTTTTTCTTTCTTTTCTGTTCTGGGGACTAAACCTAAGACTTTGTGCATGTTAATGCTCTACTACTTAGTTTCATCCTCCACCTCAATGCTAATAACTCTTCACAAATGTGTCCTGTTTCTGGCTCCATGTCCCTGAAGGCCCAAGGCAGGAAAGCTGAATCTGCAAAGCTGGGTGAGTTTCCACCCCCATCCTTTCCCCTTCCTTCTTTTGTTAATTCAAGTTACAGTGCAGACTTTGGGCCCAGGCCAAGGTCATCTGAGACCTACGCACTCTACTTGGAAATTTTGAATAACTGACACATGATCCTTCTGAAGAAAGAGGTAAAAGAAGAGCACCAAGAATAATTTCTAATATGCATAGTGCTTTTAAGTTTACAAAGAGTTTTGTGGTTGTTTTGTCTTTGTGTGTGTGTGTGTGTGTGTGTGCCGATATTGAAGCTTAAACTGAGGTCCTGGGTTCTCTTCCTTAGCTTTTTTTTTTCAAGGCTAGTACTTTACCATTTGAACCACAGCTCCATTTCTAGCTTTTTTGTTGGTGGATTGGCAATAAGAATCTCATGAACTTTTTTGCCTTGGCTGACTTTGAATTCTGCTACTCAGATTTCAGCCTCCTGAATAACTAGGAGTACAGGTGTGAATCACCAGTGCTTAACCACTGTTTCATTTTGTTTTGTTCCTGTGATGATCATACAAGGACATTAATTGGTATTGGGAATGCTTACACCATTTCCTGATAAGGCATGTTTCTTTCTTTTTTTCCTTCCTTCCTTCCATCTTTCTTTCTTTCTTTTTTCTTATCTTTTGTTTTTTTCTTTTTTTCTTTTTTTTCTTTTTGGTTGTGGGGCTTGAACTCTGGGCCTGTGCACTGTCCCTCTTCTCTTCAGCTCAAGGCTAGTGCTCTATCACTTGAGCCACAGTGCCACTTCCAGTTTTCTGGTGGATTATTAGAGATAACAGTCTCAAGGACTTTTTGCCTGGGCTGGCTTTGAACCTTGATCCTCAGATCTCAGCCTCCTGAGTAGCTAGGATTTCAGGTGTGAGCCACTGGAGCCAAGCCAAGGCATGTTTCTTGAAAGATCATGTCTCACTAAACACAATTTTACATGGAAACAGGAAATAACTCAATATCTGAGTAGAAGACTATGAACTAGTTAAATTTTTCATGAAGAGTTTTAGTATCTTTTTTCCTTGTTTCCAGTCCCTGACTGGAGAGAATAAACACAAAAAGATTCTTGGATAATAATAACTTCACAAGGTGTACAGCCCTGGAATTCCTCAGTGCTTTAAGGAGTTGTATCATAAAGGATTTTACCATAAACATCATCATAAGATACACCCTTGAATTTCCCAATATATAAACTTCCCAATCTCATTTACAGTAACAGGGCTTGAAAATAGATCCTTAATCTATATGTAAGTATCTTATAATTTGTTAAGATAGATAAAAGCTAGATGCAGCAGTGACTATAGCCACAGCCTCCCCAATTCTAGAAAGCTAGTATGAGTTCTGTAGCTTTTTTTTTCTGTTTGTGACTCAGTTTCTATTGGTGAAAATTGAGTTTGCTTCTCTGAGTATCTTTTCAATACACATATGATTGATAGACTCTCATGGGTTCAAGCATTTTAGTCTAGTTTATAATACTAAACAGTATTGTTTGTTCCAATACTCTTGTAAAGATACATGATTCAAGACAGACCAGGGCTAACCATAGGACTTTCCTGGATTTTATTGACACAAAGAGAGATCTGCCAGTTTCCTTGGCAGTAATCACCAATTCTGTCAAATGTTCTCATGGTGACAAATTGTACTGGAATTTACTTTCTTTCTTCCCAGTCTGTTCCTTTATTTCTTTGCTTTCACATTTAAATCCCACAACACCAAAGAAACTTCTCTTCTGAGAATGTCTATTAAGCAATTAGAGAGCTAACCAAATGACTAAAAACAGTTCAAGTCCTAGATTTACTTGAGTTTATAACCAGTTAGCATCTCGTTAGACTTTTTGAATCACTTTATAATCAAGCTCATTAGATTTATCTGCCAGCTTGACAACTGACTTAGGAATAGTTATCTGTGTTATAACACGGTCTCTCTTATCCACTAAACGTTCTGAGTATCATTGAAGGAAATGGACACTAGCTAGGGGTTCAGAGAACCTCTGGTACTTTCAAATATGCAATATGGTAACAAGAAGAACATGAATTTAATAGTAATGTAGAAAGCTGCATTTCAAATTTTATGTGTGTGGTTGGGGGGGCATGTGTGCACAAGTATGTGTGTGCATGCATGTGCCTCTGTTGGGCCTTGAACTTTATGTTCTCATTGGGCTTTTTCCCTTGTCAAGGCTGCTATCCAACCACTTCAACCATACCTCCACTTCTTTCTTTTTGCTGGCTAATGGAAGATAAGAGTCTCACAGACTTCTCTAGGCTAGCTTTGAATGCTGATCCTTGGATAGATCTCAGCTTCCTATGTTGCCAGGATTATAGGTGAGAGCCATCCGTACCCAGCAAAGCTGCATTTTTTTCTACTTAAAAAGAAAAGAGGCTTTACTAAGCAAAGTGGAAGGGTGGAGCTGTTTCCTGTTAAAGCACAGGGTGAACAGCACAGTAGATGTGCCATGTGAGAACAGGTTTCACAACAGCAGGATGCCTGCCATGTACTGCAACACTGACCTACCCCATAACGTAAGATACCCCATCGATTTGAACTCAGGTGTAGCAAAATCGTAGTGATAACACTGGCTCCTAAGATACTGCATCATTAAATAATGTGATTTGACAGTTGCCGATTTTATTATCTTTTAGAGAAAAGTAAGTAAACAGACTGATAAATAAACCTTACCTTGCCATTCAGCTTGGTGTGAACTGGGACATTATTGGGGTGGTGAGGAAGCAACAAACAAACCAGGCTGTGATTCTTAAAATGTCCTTGTACTCTAGGTTTTTGTACTGCTCTTGTTATTGTTGCTGTCCTTATTTCCTTTCTGCCATCAGTGGTGCTGGTTACTGGAGAGGTCTTGGCCAGCTCTTCAGGGCTGTTCCTTTGCCCAGTGACTGTATTTTTCCTGTTAGCATGCTGATCATACTTGGAAATTATGAGTCAGTGAAATGTAGCCACAGGCAGTGGGGGAGGGTAAATTACCAGGGAAAGTGCAGCCAGGACTTCCTGTATCATCTAGGGTCATTATCTTAGAGGGAGATAGGAAATCACCATGGCAATAGGAATGCCTATCCTCACCTGCAATACTGATTTAGGGAAGGCATAGGGGCCTAAATTTAAAAAGGAAGTAGAATGAAACCTTCTTTTGTACACACCGGGGAGGAGCTTTGCAAGTCAAAGTAATATAACCCTATTATTGACACTTTCAAACTTGCTATTAGTTGGTGAGACTCATTAACTATTCACATTTGTCTGCCCTCTTTTAATGCCTAGCAACTGCAGTTACAGTCCTATTTAAAATAATAGGGTGAGATTGGTAACATTACTGATTTAACAGGAAATTAGAAGACTTACATTCACAGAGCTTAGGTAAGTGACACCAACAGCACTTTTCTTGTAATTTATGCACTATGATTGATTTCATTCCCCGGCTAGTCCTAAAAGAATCTCTGAAGCATATTCAGCTATCAGATTATGGTGCAAAGAAATTAAATGAGTTTTACCCTGCTATCTATTCTAGAACTGGCAAAAAGTTTCTAAGTAGTATTCAGCTCAAGAGTTAGACTAAAATTATAATACTAATAATGAAAGAGTTTAGCCTTAGAGCATTTCTTTTGTCATGACAATTGTGAATTCACATAAAGATGCCTTGTTATTGACAGGACAAAATTACAAATTCATCATTTGTTGACAGTTTTTAAAAGTATATTTTATAAACTATGTGTGGGTATTTATTCCTTGGAATTCTCAGAAAACACTCACTTACCTATAATAGTGCTGTTATAAATGATCCATTTCCAGATGGTTATTCAGGGTTGTATTTGTATCATAATATATTACCATGCTTCATGCTCCCAGTCTCCACAATATAATTAACAATGCTGAGCACAGGAAGTTTGATAAATGAGGGTGAAATAGATTACTGAATCCATGCATTCTACTCTAGAAACCTTAAGAAAGCACAGCAAAGAAGCAGCAATAAATCTATGGTGTTCTGGTAAGTCATTATTATGATGTTTGGCTCTGTCTTTAGCAGAGTAGGCACCGGCTGGAACTTACCTTTTCTTTAGATTCCTATGACTTTCATTCAACCATTTAGAACAGTGCAGAGTGCTTCCCACTTCCTACCCTACTTCATGCCCTTGGGCTGCTTGTTTGCCCTAGAATGCTTGTCTTCTGTTACTTTACCTAGTCATGGCCACTCATTCTTCAAAACTCAGCTTCAAGCTGCATGTGATGACACACACTTGAAATCTTAATAGCTGAGAGTCTGGGGCAGGAGGATCAGGAGTTTGAACCCATTCAGTCCTGCTTACTATTGTTCACCCATTCTTCTCCTGAAACACTGCTTTCTTGCTGAGGACTAGAAGGCCCCAAACCACATTTCTTGTAGTCTCTTGCAGCTAAGGTTCTACCATCCAGATAAAGACTTTGTGGGATGTAGCTTTTTAGTGGAAATAGTACAGTTCTGCAGCCTGCGGGGAACTATGATTTCCCCTCTAGGAAGGAGGCTCTCTGACTCAGTGGCTTTTGCTCTAATGCTGTACCATGCAAGGGCAGAGAGTGTGGTTTCAGGGTCAGAAGGTTGAGCCTAAGAGGCCAGCACAGAGTGGTGTTTCTCAAACAGCATGTAATAAAATATACTTAGAGCATTGTGACAAGCTCGGGGGATAAAAATGAAATAGACTAAAATGGAATAGAAAAAAAATATCTGAGAATTCTGCATCTAGGCAGGGTTTACTTGCCTTTAACCACCCATCCCCCACTGAAATAAAAGGTGCCCATGTGTGCATGTCTGTTCTCTGTGTGTTAAATGTTTACACACCTTTAATTTCAGTTGTGTGTGTGTGGGAACAGGCATTTATGTATGTGTATTCTGAGTCACAATGAACCACACATTTCTAGCTAGGGGTTTCAATCACGAAAGTTCAAGAACATCTGGCTTCCAGCCTTACCACCAACATTTTCAATAATCTCCTTAATCCTTCCTGTTAGTGGGGTACAGAGCAGTCTTTATCTGCAGAACATCTGTTTTGCTGCCTATCAAGAGGCATAAAGTTTATAGATTTTTCTTTTTAAAGCTGTGAGTTGAGGAAAAAGGGACATGCCATTTTCCTTCACTTGCTAGCCTACCCCTGTGGTTTTCTGTCACTTCCCAATATTTTCTTTCTTTTTTTTTTTTTTTGAGGTCCAGTCATAGGCCTGAACTCTGGGCCTGGGTGCTATCCCTCAGCTCTTCAGCTCAAGGCTAACGCTCTACCACTTGAGCCACAGTGCCACTTCTGGCTTTTTTCTTTTTTCTTATGTGGTGCTGAAGAATTGAACTCAGGGCCTCAGGCATGCAAGGCAAGCGCTCTACCACTGAGCTACCTTCCCAGCCCCATACTTTCCAATATTTTCTCTAGTAAGGGACAAGGTAAAAATCTAAGATATGTGTATGTTTGGGGTTCCTGATTTTTGTTTTTGTTTTTTGTAATTCCACAAGATTTTGAGTAGCATGAGGGGAATTTGTCCTAATGAACTCCTGTGAGCTCTTCTCTTTTCTATTGACTTTCTTTGATGACAGGGCCCAGAGCTCAGCCTGTGACAGTCTGTAGCTATGTGCCTCTTGGATTCCAGAGCTCCCTGTACAAAGCCCAGAAGTGAATATGTTCTCAAGTAGCTGAGTTTAGGACATCTTAAAAGGGACAGACCAAAAAGGAAGTAGTAGGTATAGGCCAAAGTGGTCTCCCCAAATTATCTTTAACATTACAAAGAAGTAAATAGTTATGAAAGCCATTTGGGGAAAAGTACGACAAGGACAGGTTTAAACACACTCATGTAATGAGTGCTCTGAGCAAAAAGTAAGTTGCTTGTGCAGGAGAAAAAAAAAATTAGGTATCCCCAAAATGGTTTTGATTTGACTAAGTTAACTTAATGTTTTCTTCATTCTGGCTTTCCACCCAAAGGCCTCCTCACAGAGGCAGCAGAGATCTTACTTTCTGTCCTAGCACACCATTTAGACTTCACACCATACACACATATTATCTGCTCAGAAACCAATGGCACTCACACTTATTCGCTAACATATATATTCTTAGGAGAAAACCTTGTCTTCAATGGGAAAAGTGAAATAATCAAGTCAATGTGGATAAGTCTGGATTTATCTGGAGGATAAATCTGTATGTTCGTAGACCTAGAGACCTGTATGCTATGCTATAAGCCACACAGAAAAAAATAAATACAAAATTCAGATGTATGGGGAATCTTCAAAAATCAAATACACAGAGAAGATAGAAGATGAGGAAAGTCTAAAGGTATAAAGCTAAATGAGTTCAGATATGTAAGGACTGCAGTTCTTTAGATATCAAAACTATACATAGTTACAAGATTGCATTGCATACTGAAAACTTGCTGAGAGTGGATTTTCAGTGTTGTTAGTGTGTGTGTGTGTGTGTGTGTGTGTGTGTATGATAAGTACGCAAGAAAGTGGATATGTTGATTTGCTTGACCAGTAAACCAAAATTATGTCAGAATATCACATATACCTTAAATATATACATTCTAATGCAGATTCTAAGAGCAGTGCCTCAAATGAAGCCAAGTCCCTAAAATGCACGCTTAATGACAAGCAGGTTTACTGCAGTCTCTCAGTAAATATCCTTAGTGTTAGATATTTGCATTCAGTCTCTATTAGTAATGACCTGACTATGCATGGTCCATTTCTACTGCTGGAGTCTTGTGTCCTTGCTGGACATAGTCTTCTCCAACTGTAGCCATCTATGTCTTAACTATTCTTTTTTTTTTTTTTTTTTTGGGTCCAGTCCTGGGGCCTGAACTCTGGGCCTGGGCACTGTCCCTCAGCTCTTCAGCTCAAGGCTAGCGCTCCACCACTTGAGCACAGCACCACTCCTGGCTTTTTTCTTTTTGCTTATGTGGTGCTGAGGAATTGAACACAGGGCCTCAGGCATGCAACGCAAGTGCTCTACCACTGAGCCACCTTCCCAGCCCTTAACTATTCTTTAATCAGCATCATCTCTCCCTATTTTTCTGTCCCTTCCAACTCCTTAGTCATTTCTTGCCCTCTTCATAGGTAGATCTCATTTAGGATCTTTAGTGATCCCACTAACATGTATGAAAGTCCGCATTTTGATTCACAATAGAATATTTGTAAATTCAAGTTGAATATTACTGAACATCTCCACTGTGCCTAGGTATAGCAGATGCATAATATGTATCTTTCAACTGGCTGAGGACATCTTTATAAGTTCATGTAAAATTCAGCAACTGGGAATATGTTGAGAGCAGTGGGGCCTTAAGTCCCCCTTTTCTAATTACCCCCATGGAAATCTGAATTCTTTAAGTGAAATTTAAGAGAGCCCCAGGCTGACACTGCCTATTTCTGCCAAGTGTTAATTATGTGTAGACTCTAAGGGGACTTCCACATGTGGATTATGAGGGACATCGAGACAGCTGTACAGCAGGAAGATGCTCTGGGTTCAACTTTCAAGACCTTCACTTCTCTAATTTGCTTTTGGGGAAGAGATTTTCCTTCCATACATTTACATTTGTGCTTATTGATAAAGAAGACAACATTCAACTTCCAAGAAAAATCCTTAGACTATAGCATTAGAATAAAAAAGGAATTCTTTATTTTTATTTTTTATTGTTATTATGAAGGTGATGTACAGAGGGGTTACAGTTATGTAAGTCAGGTAATGAGTACATTTGTTGTTGTCTTTAGTGCTTTCTTTTTTCAATTCAATTTTTATTGTTATTATAAAAGACATTTTAGTCATATAAATCAGATAAAGAGTATATTTCTTTTTGGATAATGTCACCTCCTCTTTCACTTTCTCCCAATTTTTCCCTTCCATCCCTGCCCACAATTTGTACCACTGCTGCATTTGTTCACCTTCTGACACTCCTTTTCTGTGCCCTTCCTTATCTTCCTAAAGACAAATGAATAAACAAGACAAAAAGTAAAGAAAACAAAAAACAAAGAAAAAACCCTCTTGTTTCCAGTTCCTGGAGTTCATTTAGATAAATATTATTTTATATGATCAGAGGCACATAGGCATTGCG